GCAATGTACTTAACAGTTTCCTGACGGGTGCATGCAACACCAATCTTTTCCTTCTTTCGTACCCCCTCTCCACTGGCCGCCATGCGACCGCAAAGTCGCGCGGCCGCATCCGCAGGGTCGCAGACCTGGCCACGGTCGCGGACTTGGCCGTCGACGGCCGCTCCCGAGGGAGTTTCGTAGGTCAAGGTCCCTCGCAAAACCGCTCTTGTTTTAATCGATCACCTTCTAGGAGGGGTGGATGGCACCCTGGTTTGCCACAAGGCAAGCCTTGGGAAGATCTGGGCTTAGAGCAGACATTTTGGCAGCTGAGGATAAACCTGGATCAGTGCATCTATTGCCGTGATCTTGGACACATCATAAAATACTGCCCTAAATATAGAGAAGCCCGGTTCGCTGCACAGACAGCAAATGGCAACCGCCGGTAGGGGTTGCAACTGCCCCTATCCCTAAACCATGTGGAGAAGAGTGCGCGCACCACAGAGAAACTCCCAGACCACATATGTCTATGACAGAGGTTGCTGGTCAGTAGTGCCTAGACAACTGTCTAGAGACTGCTTGTGTTAGAGTCTCTCTAGGCACTTCCCTCAGAGGCGTGGCCGAAGAGTTGAAGAAGAAGATGCTTGTCTGGGCCAAGATGAAGAAGGAGGCGAAATGACAGCTAGTCTTGGTAGATGTAGAAATCTTCATAAGTAGAGTAGGGGCCCTTATAGACAGTGGGGCCACCCGCAGTTATATCAGTAGAAAAGTGCTGCAGAAATTGAAGTTGAACCTTAAAGTCCAAAAGCTAGAGGACCCTATAGTTAGCATCCTCACAGACAATCGCACTATGTGAGTCGAGGATTATGTAGAGGGACTCCAGGCATATTTTCGCCTAGAGAACGATGGGAAGGTGGAGAAAGTTCTCCATTCCCTTACTCTCCTCGTAGAGGATAACCTTCCTTTCGACATGGTCATAGGAATGGACTGGGGAGAGGCAGCAGGGGCCACACTCCACTTTAGAGAGCACGAGTGTAGGTTCCCTAACCCATCAAGCGAAGTAAAGATTGCTCACCTGTTCCATGTGTCAGGAGCTATATTGCACGCTGGCCGCGACCGGCGGCCTAGGCCGGGACCCCCCCGGCCGCGACCGGCCCGGCCGAGTTTTTTCGACCTCGGTGTCGGCCGATCTGGGGGGCGGTTTTTGGAGAGGGGTGCGGGTTTGGGGTGGGGGGGTGGGGGGGCACCCCCTCAAAGTGACAGGGCGTAAAAAAAAACAACAACGGGGGGTCCTGCACAAGACCCTGGAAGGGTGGCCCGCGAAAAATTCAGTGGCCCCCGTGTGCAGGTTCGTCGATGCGGGGTCGCAGGGAGAAGGGTCAGGAACAGTGTAAAAATGAAAAAAAAAATATTTGACCCCTGTGGGGGCGGCCCAACGTGGGTTGGATGAGGGCCTGGTTGGGGCGGGCCGTGCGGCCAGGCCGGGTCGAAGCTAGACGGGGCTGCAGATGGCTGACCCCAGGCGGATCAGGGCGTTACGCACTGAAAGGTAGGCGTCGGTTTCATTAATGAGGGCGATGACAATTCGTCGCTTATTTTAAAACAACACATTCATGACAATCATAAGTCAAACCCTGTTTGGCATACCAATGTCAAAACACATTGGAAATCAATCACTGTGCGGCGAACCACAAGTTTCAAACAATGATAACAGACAAGTGTGTCATAGTGTGCGTTCACTCATGAGACTAATGGACATTCATTAACACATCATTTATGTAAGAACACATTCATTAGCACATCATCCCTATGTCGCATCTGAAATTAACTGCACATTCATAATGGAGGCATCCATGACATGCAGGTGCGTGGCATCGGAGAAGCACATAATTTGCAACATTCACGACAACTGAGCAGAAAACAATCACCAAACAACAGCGACTCAGATGCAAGACCAATGTTGGCGGAGGAACAAGATCAAGAGCAAATATATGACAAAGCATTTCAATGGAAATGCGTATGTACAAGGCTGAAGCCAAAAACTGGACCCGTAGTCTCTACTCTACAACCGAGTAGCAAAAACAAACTGGACCCATCGTCTCTGCTACACAACAGAGTACCAAAAAAAAACTGGACCCGTCGACGGGCGTCGTCTCTACTGTACAACCGAGTAGCAAAAAAAAAAAAAAAACCTAATGTCCACGTACTATCGTCGTCTCCATGGAACAACATCGACATAAATATACTACAACCCTGCTGACAGAGCGTCCAGGCTGTACAAGAACGCGGAAAAAAAAAAAAACTAATAAAAAAAAAAAAAAAAACACCACGGACGTCGTCATCTCCCACCAGAGCGCGCGTGGCCTCTCCCCCAACGGTGGCGCCCATGCGCTCCTCCCCGGCGCCCCCCCCTCCGTCCGACAAATTTACCCCGTGCCCCACTGACGTATGCCGCATGTGCTGCA